CCAGCACTTTGGGAGGCCGAGGTGGGCGAATCACTTGAGTTCAGGTGTTCGAGACTAGCTTGGCCAACATGGTGAAACCCCATCTCTACTAAAAATACAAAAAGTATCTGGGCATGGTGGCACATGTCTGTAATCCCAACTACTCGGGAGGCTGAAGCAGCAGAATCACTTGAACCCAGGAGGCAGAGGCTGCAGTGAGCCAAGATCATACCACTGCACTCCAGCCTGGGCAACAGAGTGAGACTGTCTCAAAAAAAAAAAAGAAAAAAGTCAATCTGAAAGTCTTTAATTCATTTTGTATATAGTGTGAGATAGGGTCCAATTTTATTTTTCTGTATGTGGATATCTAGTTTTTCTAACACCATTTATGGAAGAGACTGTCCTTTCCCATTGTGTGTCCTTGGCACGTTTGTTAAAGATCAACTGACCGTAAATACATGGATTTATTTCTGGGCTCTCTGTTCTGTTCCACTGGTCTGTATTTTCGTTTTTATGCCAGTACCATGCTGTTTTGCTTACTATAGCTTTCTAGTATATATTTTGAAATCAGATAATGTGATGCCCCCAGCTTTCTTCTTTTTGCCCAAGATACTTTGGCTATTTAGGATCTTCTGTGGTTTTATGCAAATCTTAGGATTTTTTTATACTTCTGGGAAAAAGATCATTGGAATTTTTATAGGGACTGCATTGAATCTATGGATCACTTTGGGTAGTATGAACATTTTAACAGTATTAATTCTTCCAATTCACAAACACGGGATATCTTTCCATTTATTTATATCCTTTTTTATTTCCTTCATCAATGTTTTCTAGTTTTCAGTGTACAGATCTCTTACCTCCTTAAATTTCCTAAGTAATTTTTTGATGCAATTGTAAATGGGATAGTTTTCTTGATTTCTTTTTCAGATAGTTAGCATATAGAAACATCATATGTTAATTTTGTATCTTCTAACTTTACTGAACTTATTAAGTCTAATAGTTTTTCGGTGAAGTCTTTAGAGGTTTTTGTTTGTGTGTGTGTGTGTGTGTGTTAGTTTAGTTTAGTTTTGTTTTTTTGAGATGGAGTCTGGCTCTGTCGCCAGGCTGGAATGCAGTGGCGCCATCTCGCTTCACTGCAGCCTCCACCTCCCAGGCTCAAGCGATTCTTGTGCCTCAGCCTCCTGAAAAGCTGGAATTACAGGCACACACCACCATGCCCAGCTAATTTTTGCATTTTTAGTAGAGACAGGGTTTCACCATGTTGGGTAGGCTGGTCTTGAACTCCTGACCTCAAGTGATCTGCCTGCCTCAGCCTCCCAAAGTGCTGGGATTACAGGCGTAAGCCACTGTGCCAGCCTTTGTGTGTGTGAGATGGAGTCTTACTCTGTTGTCCAGGCTGGAGTGCAGTGGCATGATCTTGACTCACTGCAACCTCCGCCTCCCAGGTTCAAGCAATTCTCGTGCCTCAGCCTCCTGAGTAGCTAGGATTACAGGCACACACCTTCACGCTTGGCTAATTTTGTATTTTTAGTAGAGACAGAGTTTCACCACATTAGCCAGGCTGGTCTTGAACTCCTGACCTCAAGTGATCCACCAGCCTTGGCCTTCCAAAGTGCTAGGATTACAGGCGTGAGCCACCATGTCCAGCCTTAGAGTTTTCTGTATATAAGATAATGTTATCTGCAAACAGAGACAATTTTATATCTCCCTTTCCCATTTGGATGCCTTTTATTTCTTCCTCTTGCCTAATTGCTCTGGCTAGGACTTCTAGTACTACACTAAATAGAAGTGGTAAGAGTGAGCATCCTGGTCCTGCTCCTGACCTTAGGATCTTTGCTGAGTATAACATTAGCTGTGAGCTTGTCATATATAGCCCTTATCATATTGAGGTACATTCCTTCCGTACCTAATTTGTTGAGAGTTTTTATCATGAAAGGATGCTGAATTTTGTCAAATGCTTGTCTCCATCTGCTGAGATGATCATATGATTTTTATACTTCTTTGTGGTATTATAGTATATCACATTTATAAATTTAGACACGTTAAAATATCTTTGCATCCCAGAGATAAATTCCACTTGATCATGGTGTGTGATCATTTAATGTGCTATTTAATTTGGATTGCTAGTATTTTGTTGAGAATTTTTGCATCTATGTGAACATGGCCTGTAATTTTCTTTTCTTATGGTATATTTGTCTGGCTTTGGTGTTAAGGTAATTGTGGCCTTGTAAAATGAGTTTGGAAGTGTTCCCTCTGCTTCAGTATTGTGGAAGAGTTTGAGAAGGATTGGTATTAATTCTTTTTTACATGTTTGGTAGAATTCACCAGTAAAGCCATTCAGGTCCTGGGCTTTTCTTTGTTGGAAGGTTTTTGATTACTGATTCAATCTCCTAACTCATTATTGGTCTATTCAGATTTTCTCTTTCTTCATGATTGAGTCTTTGTAGGTAATATGTATCTAGGAATTTATCCATTTTGCCTAGGTTATCCATTTGTTGGTGTATAATTATTCATGCTAGTAGTGGTCTCTTATGATCCTTTGAATTTCTGTGGTATCTCGTAATGTCTCCTCTTTCTTTTATAATTTTGAGTCTTCTCTCTTCTTAGTCTAGGTACACTCTTGGTAAGTGCTATTGCAATACATTCCAGACAGATTCACACTTTTGAAAGCATAAAAAACTAGAAAATGGAATGGCAAGTAAGAAAGCCCCATCCTAGAAATAAAAGGAGGATCTCTCTGCATGGACTGGGGTAACTGTCCTGAATTTTGCCCCCCACGATTCTCATAAAACTCCCACGATACTTGCCTCCTCTCAATTCCACCCTATACTTAATCATATCTTGCATTTGTGAAGTGCTGATACACAATTTTTGAACTGCATCTTTACACACTGATATGGTTGGGCTTTATGTCCCCACCCAAATCTCATCTTGAATTGTAATCCCCAGATATTGAGGGAGGGACCTGTTGGGAGGTGACTGGATCATGGGAGGCAGTTTCATCCATGCTGTTCTTATGATAGTGAGGGAGTTCTCATGAGAGCTGATGGTTTTAAAAGTGTTTGGAAGTTCCCCCTTCACACCTCTCTCTCCTGTGGCCATGTAAGATGTGCCTGCTTCCCCTTCTGCCATGATTGCAGGTTTCCTGAGGCCTCCCTAGCCATGCAGAACTGTGTCAATTAAACCTCTTTCCTTTATAAATTACCCACTCTCGGGTATTCCTTTATGGCAGTGTGAGAACAAACTAACACACACACTAAATATGTATCATTTTAGAGCACTCAATGAACATTTAAAATGTTTATATATTAAAAAGTCCACCTAACACCTCAGTATTTAAAGAAAACCATATGCTCACAATATTTAAAATTTTAAAGTTAAAAACAAAGTGCACTATGACACTTCTTTTAAAAGTAGAAATCAAAAACAAGATTGGTCTTTCAAAATGTTACAGCATTGTAAATTAGAGCTTTTGGGCTCAGTTCTCTCCCCACACCCAGCTCTGATTTTTTCCAATATTTTAGAAGTATATTAAGGAAAACACCTTTTAACATCAGAGCAGCTAAAATTGGTTAAATCATGACATTAGTAAACAAAAAGTTTTGCTTATCCTTAGCAAAAGACTAGACAACTTTTAAAAAAAATTATCAGGTCAGGCGTGGTGGCTCATGCCTATAATCTCAAGGTGGAAGGATTGCTTGAACAAAACAAGGAGTGTGAGACCAGCCTGGGCGACATGGCAAAACCCCATCCCTACAAAAAGTACAAAAATTAGCCAGGCATAGTGGCATGTGCCTGTAGTCCCAGCTATTCAGAAGCTGGAGTGGGAAGGATGGCTTGAGCCTCGGAGGTGGAGGCTACAGTGAGTGTGATTGTGCCACTGCACTCTGGCCAGGGTGACACAGTGTGACCCTGTCTTAAATAAAATAAAATTGTCATTAAACCCAAAAAAAGTAGAAATCAAAGTACATTTAACAACAGTCATCTCTGAATGGTGGGATTAGTGAATCATTTTATTTTACTATTTGTGTTAAATTTCTTCTAATAAACATTCTATTTCTATAAGACAAAAAAATATATATATATATATATATATAAAATAAAGATAATCTATAACAGCAGAGCACAAAAGAAAGTAACAGATTTCCTTACAATTAATTACAGCAGGCTGGGCGCGGTGGCTCACACCTGTAATTCCAGCCCTTCGGGAGGCTGATGCAGGTGGATCACGAGGTCGAGAGATCAAGATCATCCTGGCCAACATGGTGAAACCCCATCTCTACTGAAAATTCAAAAAATTAGCTGAGTGTGGTGGCGGGCACCTGTAGTCCCAGCTACTCGGGAGGCTGAGGCAGGAGAATCACTTGAACCCAGGAGGTGGAGGTTGCAGTGAGCCAAGATTGTGCCACTGCACTCCAGCCTAGTGACAGAGTGAGACTCCGTCTCAAAAAAAAAAATTACAGCAAACTTAGTTAAAACACAATAGTGTGTCAAAATTTCTTTGAAAGAATAACAAAGAATTACAAAACTAAAATAATAAACCAATAGAGTTCAAAATATTTGTATCAAATATCATATTAAATACATGCACACATGCATATGCAAGCTCATCTCTATGTGCAAGAAAAAACTTCAAGACCTCCCAAATTAAGTGAACAGAGGATATAAAAAGGCATTGACACCAAAATAAATAAAACAATAAACAAAAACACAATGCTTTATCCTTGTCAAAGACATAGAAATGAAAGAAACAATGGCTGGGTACGGTGGCTCATGCCTGTAATCCCAGCACTTTGGGAGGCCAAGGCAGGAGGATCACTTGAGGTCAGAGTTCAAGACCAACCTGACCAACATGGGGAAATGCCATCTGTACTAAAAATACAGAAATTAGCCAGGCATAGTGGCGGGCGCCTGTAATCCCAGCTACTCGGGAAGCTGAGGCAGCAGAATCACTTGAACCCGGGAGGCAGAGGTTGCAGTGAGCCAAGATTGCAGCACTGCACTCCAGCCTGGGTGACAGAGTGAGATTCCATCTCAAAAAAAAAAAAATCTATTCAATTCCAACATATACTAAACCTACTGTGTGCCAACTTCTGTACTAGGGAAACAGATATGAACAGATATGAGACCGTCAAAGGTCTCTCAGTTTATTGAATGATTGATTCATTCATTCACAATTCATTCAACAGATATTTAGTGAGCACCTACTATGTGCCAGGCACTGTGTCTAGTGCTGGGAACTCAGAGGAAACTAATTGGACAAGGTGGCTGCCCTCATAGAGCCTACCTGCTAATGGAGAAGACAGACTATAGGCAAGTAAACAAAAACATGATAATTAACAGATTATGATGGGCTGTGAAGAAAATAAGCAGGGTATCAAAATTATCTGATTGAGGGAGGTGAGCCTACTTTAGAGAGGGCAGTCAGGAAAGGCCTCCCTGACGAGGTGACATCTGAGCTGAGACATAAGAAAGAGAATACAGCAGCTGTCTCAGGGGTGAGTGAAAGAGCACTCTGGGCAGAGCGAATGCAAAGGCCCTGAGAGCAGAAACAACTTAGGTGTTACAAAAACAGAAAGGAGGGGAGTGGGGCTGGAGCTGGTAAGTGGAGCTGAAAACAGGGACAGGAGTGAGGCAAGAGGTGGCTGGGAAGATGGCGGGAGCCTTGCTGGTTGTGGTAAAGAGTCTAGGTTTTATTCTGAGAGCAGTGGGAAGGTGTTAAGCAGAGGAGGGGCATAGTCTTTGGGATTTTAAAAGATCATTCTGTCTGCAGCGTGGAAAATGGGTGGTAAGCAGGTAGGAGTAGGGGGCGGAAAACCAGTTAATGGTTACTGCAGTAGCTCAAGCAGGAGGCAATGGTGGCTTGCATTAGGGTGGTGACAGAGAAAGAATTCACTGAATTCAAAATGTATTTTGGAACTACACTCAAGAATTGCAGGTGGACTGCATGTGGAAGGAGAGGGAAAGCAAGAATCAAGAATAATGCCAACTTTTTTAGCTTCAGCAGTTGGCTAGTGGCAGTGCTATTTACCGAGAGAAGTTTGGGGTTGGAAATCAAGAGTTCAGTTCTGAACAAGTGAATTGAGATGTCTGTGAAATCCCAGTAGGAATATCAAGTGGGTAGCTGGATGTAGAAGTCTGGAGCTCAGGGGTGCGATCCAGGGTAGAGATAGAAATGTGGCAGTGATGATAGTATGGAAAATACTAAGAGCCTCAGTCTGGAAGCATTTACTTAGGAAGTACACATAGACAGAGAAGATCAAGGACTGAGGCCCAAGACAGTCAACACTTAAAGGGTGAGCAGGAGAAGTGCCAAGGAGACAAGGTGAGAACAGCAGAAGAGTAGCCAAGGCCCAGGATGTTGCCACAGAAGCCAGGAGAGGTGAGCATGAAAACAGAGGAGGACCAGCTGCTGGGACAGAAGAGCCACATGGAAGAGCTAGCAGCATGGAAGTGACTTTCAAGAGCATCTTCCATGGCATCATGGAACAGGTACCTGACTGGAGAGGTTGGAAGGGCTAAGGGAGCTGAGTGAGCAGGGGCAGTGGGTACAGACCACTCAGTGGAGAAATTCAGACATGAAGGGCAATGCCAACTTACAAAGTCCCTGGAAGAAGTTCCTGGAAACACGTGTGGCCAGTAAATATACAAAGAGATGTCCAGCTTTGCTAGTGATGAGGGAAATGCAAATCAAGACACAGTGAGATACCATTTTACATCCATTCCACTGAGAAAGTGTTTTCAGTCTGGCAATACCCGGTGCTGGGGAAAACGCAGAGCCACTGAGTCTCTTACACACTGCTGGTGGGATTGTCAGTCAACACTTCAGAAAACTGGCACTGTCTCTTGAAGCCAAGCATTCACATGCCCTGTGCTCAACCATTCCACTCCTTGCTCACTCATCGGAGAGAGAGGAACAAGAATTCACAGTGGCAGTATTCACAGTAGCAAAAACCCAAAGACAGTCCAAATGCCCTGAGAGGAGAATGGACAAATAAACTGCAGCATACTCACCAAAAGAGCGCTACACAGCAGTGAAATGAATGAACTCTAGAGACATGCACAGGGTGGGTGGCTCTTAGACTGTGATATGAAGGGAGAAAAAGCCCAAACAGGTTACGTGCATCAAAATACCTTTTTATAAAGCAAAAAAACAAATACAATAAATTATAAATACACTCGAGGAATAGATTTAGATGTGATAAACCTATACTGAAAAAGAAAGCCAGAGAATGATAATGCATGAGTCAAGATAGTGACGACTGCATGGAAGGCAACATAGGTTAAATGATAATAACGCTTATTATGCTAAAAAGAAAACAAAGACAAGATCTTCCATGGAGCATTTTTATTCCAAAGCTGATTGAGATGCTATTCGAACCACTAAATCTACCTAATTTCAAAAAACAAACAAAAAAAATACCAGGCAGAGAAACATGTTCAAAAGCACTAAGGGGAAATTCAGGAAATTCACCGATCAGGAAAATCAAGAATGCAGGAAACGCCACAGGAAAAACAACTCAGTTTAAAAATACCAAAAAAAAAAAAAAAAAAAAAACAGATTTAAAAAGAGGGTGGGGGCCAGGAACAGTGGTTTAACACCTGTAATCCCAGCACTTTGGGAGGGTGAGGCTGGACAATCACTCGGGGCCAGGAGTTCTCAACCCGCCTAGACAACACAGGGAGATTGCATCTATACAAAAAAGAAAAAGAAAAAAAGAGCATGGGGAAACCAATGGGTTAAGAGAGAGATATGGCGCCGCCCAGTGGCTCATGCCTGTAATCCCAGCACTTTGGGAGGCCAAGGCAGGTGGATCATTTGAGGTCAGGAGTTCGAGACAAGCCTGGCCAACATGGCGAAACCCCATCTCTACTAAAAATACAAAAATTAGCCAGGCATAGTGGCACACACCAGTAATCCCAGCTACTCAGAAGGCTGAGGCAGGAGAAAAGCTTGAACCTAGGAGGCAGAGGTTGCAGTGAGCTGAGATCGCGCCACTGAAATCTAGCCTAGGTGACAGAGCGAGACTGTCTCAAAAAAAAAAAAGAGAGAGAGCAACATGGCAACCAAATGCACCATGCAGACTTTCTTTGCCTCCTGATTTCAGCAAATCAATATAAAAACCATTATGAGACAGTTGAGGATAGCTCAACACCGATGATGGGGGACAGTATGGAACTGTTCATTTTTTAATTTCATAATGGAATTGTGATTTTTTAAGTTCCTTATTTTTTAGAAACATGTACAGTACTAAAATATTTTTTAAAAGCTCCAATAATATTTGTTCTGTACTTTTCTCATACGTGGTTGTAGCTTGTATACTAATCACACACACACACACACACACACACACACACATTTCTATCCAACAGGACTGTACTTCCAAAGCACAGACAATTCCTCTGCAGACCTCAGCACAGTGCTTTGAATATTGAGAGTAGTACTTTGAGAGTACTGAATTATTTGCTGAATTTATAAAAATAAAAAAAAAAGAAACATGCATGGTGCAATGATAAGAAGTATACCCTGAGCCAAGGATTATGTTTCATATAACTTTTTTCTTTTTTTTTTTTTTTTTTTTTTTGAGACAGTCTTACTCTGTCGCCCAGGCTGGAGTGCAATGGTGCAATCTCGGCTCACTGCAGCCTCTGCCTCAGCCTCCCAAGTAGCTGGGATCACAGGCATGTGCCATCATGCCCGGCTAATTTTTGTATTTTTAGTTGAGACAGGGTTTCACCATGTTGGCTAGACTGGTCTCATAACTCCTGACCTCAGGTCATCCAACCGCCTCTGCCTCCCAAAGTGCTGAGATTACAGGCTTGAGCCACCATGCCCGGCCTCATACAACTTTTTATACCGAGGTGTAAACACAAAGTCCCTGCAAAGGAAGAGCAGGTATGCAAAGAAAGATGCCAAAACTATTATACTTGTAAGGGGACCTTCTTTGGGAAAGAAGGTGCAGATACCCCCAACCAGGCTGAATCCCTCTTACACACACTCCCAGCACCACAGGAGTGAACTTATCATGTGTATTGTCATCTATTCAATGTCTGACTCCACCGCCAGGCTGTGGGCCCCACTCTGGAGGCGCTCATGTGGCCAGACTTGGAAAGCAGTTAAGAGCCTAAAGGAAGAAACCGCAGCATCGTCCAGAGGAGAAACAGCACAGACCACAAAGAGAGTCAAACATCCCAGTGCCCAAGTCAGGAATGCCAACTAGAGATCAGCCAAAGCAAAGATCCTGGTGGGGGACGTGGCAGTGGGCTGGGACCACCATCTCCTCTTCTGAGGAGCCGATGAAGGGAGTGGAGTGGGTGAGAGCCAGCATGCAACAGGAAGACAGGGACTGCAGAGCCAGAGTAACAGGGACGCAGCGGCTGCCCGCTTTGTAACCTGGCCGGCCTGGTCCCTTCTCAATGCAGTAGGATGTGGGCTGCCACAAGAATGCAGGCAATGCTAGTGCGTCAGAGTAGAGAGCTCAGCATTCCTCAGGACCCTGGGGAGGCCTACTCAGACCAGCAGATGTAACCACATTTAACTATGGAGTGAGGTTCCATCAAGCACATCCAGGGTGCCTGGGCACCTGGAGGAGGGAGGGAGGGAGGGAGAGAGGGGTTCCCTAGGCCAGCACAGGGATAAGGGGCAGGAAGAGTCACAAAGTGGAGTTGATTTTCAAGACCCCTCTGATTGACTCTTGAGAAACTGGATAGGAGCTGGGGACGGTGGCTCACGCCTGTAATCCCAGCACTTTGGGAGGCCGAGGCGGGTGGATCACAAGGTCAGGAGTTCAAGACCAGCCTGGCCAACATGGTGAAACCCCGTCTCTACTGAAAACACAAAAATTAGCTGGGTATGGTGGCATGTGCCTGTAATCCCAGCTACTCGGAGGCTGAGGCAGGAGAATTGCTTGAACCGGGACCCGGGAGGCAGAGGCAGCAGTGAGCCAAGATCGCACCATTGCACTCCAGCCTGGGCGACAGAGCAACACTCTGTCTCAAAAAAAAAGAAAAAGAAAAAGAAAAACTGGATAGGATGGGAAGGGAAGGAAAAACATATTGAGTGCTAGTTAGGCATTTCAAGGCATGCAAGGAAAGTTTCTTTCCAGGAAGAGGGGCTGCACAAAGATCAAGAGATGGGAAGAGTCCGGGCGCGGTGGTTCGTGCCTGAAATCCCAGCACTTTGGGAGACCAAGGTGGGTGGATGATTTGAGGTCAAGAGTTCGAGACCAACCTGGACAACATGGTTGAAACCCCGCCTCTACTAAAAATACAAAAATTAGCTGGGAGTGGTGGCAGGTGCCTGTAGTCCCACCTACTTGGGAGGCTGAGGCAGGAGAATCACTTGAACCCAGGAGGCGGAGGTTGCAGTGAGCTGAGATTGCACCACTGCACTCCAGCCTGGGTGACAAAGTAAGACTCCATTTCAAAAAAAAAAAAAAAAGAGAGACAGAGATGGGAAGACACAATGGAGAGGGGAAGATACAATGATATCTGGTTTTCTTTCTTTTCTCAAAGATGCCCATTAAAGGTGCTGGAGGCCCTGGGCTGGGTTCCACAGGCTAGGAGGAATGTTTTATGTATTCCTGTTCCCCTGTTATTACAGAAAAACCCACTGTATATGAAGTGTTTCTACTTCCAGAAATTTACCACAGAGCTGTAACCTCAACATATATTCACAATGCTCAAAAAGAGAAAACCAAATGGGCAACCACTAGAGTTAGATTGGTTAAAATACTATATAGTCATCAAAAATCATGTTGTCAAAGATCAGTTAATGGCATGGAAAGAGCTACACCCCATATAAATGGAAAAAGCAGGTTACAAAACAACATGATTCCAATGTCATGAAAAAAGTATAAGGCATTTTTTAAAGTATGTAATGCTCAGAGTCTTTCTCTGTGTGGTAGGATTATGTGGGATAACCTTCGTCATCCTTGTTGTCTATTATGGACAATAAATATGTTTGACTTTTTAAAAATTAGATAAAAACACAACAAATGTTATTGAAATACACACACACAATTGAAAACAGGCCCACATGGGGTAAGCTCACCTTCTGCAGGATGGGGGTAGGGCAGATGTTGTCAAACAGGACTGAGTTGAAGATCCCATACACGCCCTCATCAAGGTGGTACACAACGGTCTTGGTGGTGGAACCATTTTCCTCTGCAGGAGAGGAGGGGTCAGGGCAGCACAAATAGCAATGTGAGGGGGTGGTAGTGGGGCTGGCACAACAGTGGGCTCAGCAAGAAAGCAAAATGACTGCCCATTCCTCGACCATGAGGTGGGGCCAACAACAAAAGCCATCAGCGGTCATCCTCCCAATGACATGGGTTCACTGCCGTGTTGGGAACACTCACCCTTGCAGCCAAGCAACCTTGCCCAGGACGCAGTCCCCTGCCTGCATCTGAGCCCCTAGATGCCCCAGCAAAGGCAGAAGTGCAGCCCACCCAAACTCAAGACCCCAAAAGGTTAAGCTACTTGCTCAGAGGCACGTGATAGGGCAGTGGATGAGCCAGAATGAGAAGCCAGGTCTCTTGGTTGGATCAGATGGGACAATCCCCCAGGTCTATAAAGGAAGCCAGAAGAATGCCACACACGAACACAGGACATTCTGCCTGGAGCCCACCGCCCTTCACATGAATTCTCTCTGGGGAGGAGCGCACGGTCCTGAGGCTCCCAGGGTCCCAGAGCAGAGGGCAAAGCCTCAAGATCAGAGTCCCTGACACCTGTCACTCACAGGCTGCTGTCCCTGACCTATCTGGAAGGGCAGGGAAGAGCACTGATGTTGGTGATGTGGGCCCAGAAGCTCTGAGTCAGCCTAACCTGAACTTGAATCCCAGCACTGCCCCTTATCAGCCATGTGACCTTGGGCTAATGACTCAGCCTTCCCCTGCCTATGTTGTCATCTGTAAAGTGGACTCAAACAAATGTAAGCTCTCACTAATTATTTTCATTATATTATGAGAAGCAGTAGGATGAGTAGGAGTCTGTACTTTGGAGAGGAGACAGACATGGGGTCAAATGCAGGCTCTTACTAGCTATTAAGCTGTTCACTTGTATTCTCTTTGGCTCTCAGTTTCCTCATCTGTAAAATGGGGTCAATAGAGTATCTATTCTCCCTAAGGTTGTTTTGCTCTCAATCTTCACAAAATATGAACACGCCTAGGAAAAAAGATACTAAATAAACGTCTTGGGGTGGGGTGACTTGATTGTAAGTTTTCCTAAAGCAAGAACCCATTCATTCTCCAGATTCCCCCATCCTCTGCCACTGGGTCTAAAACCAGACCCTGCTCAGCCAACCACTGTCTCCAGCTTCAGGGGAGAACAGGGCTCCACTGCCCACCTGGCACCTACCCTCTCTGCCAGGTTGATCCAGCAGAACCTCCTTCTTGGCAATGATGCTGACTGCCACAGTGAAGGCCGAGGTCACGTAGTAGCGCCCCAGCTCAGCAAGGATGTCCACACCACAGCCCTCTGGGAAGTACAGGTCCAAGGCTGAGTTGATCACAGAAGCAATCTGGTAGGAGGAGAATGGGGAGACAATTATGTGTTTGAAATGTGGGCTTTATGGCCAGGCGCAGTGGCTCATGCCTGTAATCCCTGCATTTTGGGAGGCCGAGGTAGGCGGATCAAGAGATCAGGAGATCGAGATCATCCTGGCTAATACAGTGAAACCCCAAACCCCGTCTCTACTAAAAAAAAATTAGCTGGGCGTGTTGGCGCATGCCTGTAGTCCCAGTTACTCGGGTGGCTGAGGCAGGAGAATCGCTTGAACCCGGGAGGTGGAGGTTACAGCCACCGTACTCCAGCCTGGGTGACACAGACTCCGTTTCAAAAAAAAAAAGAAATGTGGGCTTTATGCTGAAGACTTGCTACAGATCCAAGTCTATTTCTTGAAAGCTGCTTTGATTTCCGGAAGAAGGATTTGGCGCTGCTAAGGCTCCAGCTGGTAACTGTGGACAGCTGGCCAAGAAGGTAGGAGGGGGACAGAGCTGGGAAGAGAGCCTCATGCTTGTGTAAATCACCCTCCGGTAGACAGCCTCATGCTTGTGTAAATCACCCTCCTTCATGGCCCCACGATGGGAAGGGGCACTCTTCATATCACACTTGGTACTCAGATTCCAGAAGCCCTGATGTGGATCTTTCTTTCATAAATAACCAGTTTGTTAAATACAGCTGATCCTTGAACAACACAGGTTTGAACTGTGTGGGTCCACTTATGCATGGATTTTCTTCTGACTCTGCCACCCTGAGACAGCAAGACCAAGCCCTCCTCTTCCTCCTCCTCCTCCTCAGCTTACTCAACTCGAAGACAATGAGGACAAAGACCTTTAGAATCCATTCCACTTAATAAATAGTAAATAGCATTTTCCATCCTTATGATTTCTTAATATATATTTTTGATTTCCTGTCAGGCATGGTGGCTCATGCCTAGTTAATCTCCTCCGCCTTTGGAGGCTTGAGGTGGGCAATCCAATGAGGTCAGTTCGGACATTCAGCCTGGCCAACATGGTGAAACCGTCTCTACTAAAAATACAAAAAAATATGCACATTGGTGCCTTGACCTGTAATCCCAGGCTACTGGAGGCCTGAGACAAAGAATCGGCTTTTTGAACCCGGGAGGCGGAGGTTGGCAGTGAGCCCGAGATCATCCCACTGCACCCTCCTGCCTGGGTATAGAGTGGAGACCCTGTCTCCAAAAAAAAAAAAAAAAATATATATATAGTTATATATATATACTATCACACTATTGTTTTTTCCTGTAGGCTTAGTACTTTGGCATTGTAAGAATACAGTTTGTAATACATATCACATAACAAATCTAGTTAATTGCTGTTTTTATGGTTTATCATTAAGGCTTCTACTGTAACAGTAGGCGATTAGTAGCTAATTTGGGGGAATCAGAAAAATATAATGCAGAATTGTTGAAGTGTGTAGGGGTCCGCTGCTCTCCTAGCTCTACGTTGTTCAAAGGTCAATGTAAAAACACTTGATTACAGAAAATTCAGAAAATACGGAAGAGGAAAAAGAAGATAAAAATCACTCCTAATTCTATCACCTAGATGAATCTAATTATTGTTAACCTTTTGGAGTAGTGTCTTTAATTACTTTTTATACAAACACTATTTTTTATTATAACCATGATAGGTCTCTGTATATGTTTTTAGAACCTGTTTTACTTAATAGACTGTGAATGACCTCCCTACATTAAGTAAATGTTTTCATCAAAAGAATGTACCATAATTTAACCAATCCTGAGCATTAGATGGACCAGGGAAGTCCATTGGACTTCTGTTATGAACAAAGCTAGAACTGTCATCTTTGAGGCAAATTCTTTGAGACTATCCCAAATTATTTCTGTAAAGTCAATTCCTAGATGTCGGTATTCCTGAACGAGGCGCCTTCCAAGAGGCGACCTCTAGTGGTTGCAGTGGGAACTGCTAGGACACATTTTTCTTGGCTTCACCTCACAGTGGGTAAGGAAAAGGGAATGGAGGAGAATGGACAGGGAGCAGACCAAAGGTTGGTTTTCCTTTCCCTGCCTTCCCACCTGATTTCTCATCAGCCCACCTGAGGGTGAAGAGGCCTATCCCGCCCCTTAAAGAACCTTATGACTTATGTAAATGTGTCCTGGTTATGCCTCCAATTGGCTGGTGAAGTGCATGGCAGGCAGAACCAGGTTCTGCTTTGGGCTCGGAAAGTGATGTAACTTCTGTGAGCCTCAGCTTGTTCAGCTGTAGCACAGAGTTAATAAGTAGTGAGATCGACCAGGTGGCTTTGGGTTTAGAAAGCGATGTAAGCTCTGTGAGCCTCAGCTTGCTCAGCTGTAGCACAGGGTTAATAAGCAGTGAGATCACCCAGGTAAGCACCAACCACGGCATGCAGTGCATAGGACCCACGCACAGTGGTCTCCCTCCGATCATCTAATCCCTCCATATCCCCCTCCCCCATCATAGAGCCCAGCACGACACTCCCAGCTCCAGGGTTACCTCCTCAAATCTCACTTTGGCCCCTTCTGTGCCAGGGAAGCCACCACCAAGGTCCAGAACGTGCATCTTGTGACCCAGCTCGGTGCCCATTTCAAACACGAGCCGGACATCTGCGATGGACTGAGCATAGGCCTGAGGGTCAGGACAGCCACTGCCAATGTGAAAACTGGGAAGAGAGGAAGAGCCTCGGCTGACATGCAGGGCTCCAAGTGCCACCACCTGAGCCCCAGTCAAGAGTGACGTTGGGCAGGCACATGAGACAGTATGCCCATTTTACAGATGCAGTGACTGAGGGCCTGAAATGTTAAATGGGTTGCCAAGGGCCATATGGCAAGGGAGGAGTGGACAGGAGGCTCGATCCAAGGTCTCCTGGCACTTGGTGCTCCTCCCATCCCTCCTTCTGGGATGAGAGCCAGGACCCCCAAGTCAACCAGATCTGGCTGTGCCTCCCAGTCAGCAGGGTGGCCTTGGCAGCTTACTCAGCTTTGTTTTAGTTTCCCCACCTATAATGCGGGGACAAGACCCACACCACACAAAGCTGAGAGATAATGTGCATGAAGCACTTAGCACAGCAGCTGGCACATCCTAAGTACAGAATAAACAAAGTCCTATATTAGGTAGTTCATTGTTCATTAGATAGTTCATTATTACCCCTTCCATATCCCTGTAAGAAAAGAGGCACACAGCTGGGTGCAGTGGCTCACACCTGTAATCCCAGAACTTTTGGAGGCCAAGGCAAGAGGATTGCTTGAGCCCAGGAGTTTGAGACCAGCCTGAGCAATAGAGTGAGCCCCCATCTCTACAACAAATAAAAATTAGTCAGGTGTGGTAATGCATGCCTGTGGTCACAGCTAATTGGGAGGCTGAGGCGGGAGAGAGAATTGCTTGAGCCTAGGAGGTCAAGGCTGCAGAAACCCATGATCATGCCACTGCACTCCAGCCTGCCTAGGTGACAGAGTGAGACCCTATCTCAAAAAAAAAAGAAAAGAAAAGGAAACGAGCCCCTCAAGAGTGCAGCTGCAAAACCTTTGTCTTACAGGCTGGTAAAACTCCCTCAAAGCCAGGTCCCTGGATGGAACTTCCTAGGACAAGACCTTCTGGGGACCCTGGGGCTAGGGAAGGGACCATTCCAAACTTCCTTTTCAAACAGAGGAAATTCTCAAATGGCAGAATTCCAGGCCCAGGGACAGGCCCTGCTGGGAGGCCCTGGGGAAGGTCTCTTACAGAATTAATTCCTGGGAAAGAGGCAGGGAGCCTGGTGTGGCAGGGGATGGCAGGGGTTCCCAGTGCTCACCTCACACCCACCACCTCCACATGGCTCTTCTTCGCATTTTCAAGCAGGTGTCTGCAGGATTTCAGTGACACTCCAAACTTCAGGCTCAGGCGGCTCAGGGAGTGGGAGTCATCAGTAGCAATGCACAGAACCATCCTGATGAGACACGCAGTGCCCCTCTGCTGGACAAACCCTGTCAGCCCGCCCCAGCCACATCTCTCAATCAAGGGCTATGAGCTACATGGCTCAGAGCCACCCAACCCCACAGGCTCCCTGACCCCTCCCTCTCCCTACACAGCCAATCAACCTTCAAGTCCTATCCAATCCATTCCTTAAATGTCCCTGGACCCATTCCTGTAGCCCCTGCCCTTGTCCAGACCTCACCAACTCTCCTGGGGCAGCTCCAGTGCCTCCAAATCAGTCTCCACACCAGTCAGAGCTTTCAAACTTGTCATGTATGAGAGGAACCATTTTTAAACAAAGCCTTAAGGAGGACCCATTAACACGATGGAAGCTGCTTTGGATGGACTAGAGTGGCCCATCACCTGCCCCCCAACCCTTCACCCGAAGGCCCCTCCTGGGAAGTCCAAGGGTGTCCAGTAATCGTGTAAAAGGCACAGTCAGAGCAAAACGTCCAGCCCTGAACCCTTCGAAAGTCCATTTGCATCGGGTCCACACCCCCGACCAGGATCTCCTTCACCCCCTGCACATAGCATGCTGCAGCCACACTAAGTTTCTGCTTACTCTTAAATGCCCCATGCTGTTTCCAACCTTAGTGCGTTTGCTTATGCAGTTCACTTTTATGTCCTCTCCAAATTCTATTCATTCCTCAAGGCCCGCTTCAAATGCCACTTGCTTCTTGAAGCTTTCCTGACCACTCCCTCAACTCTCTCAAGCCTGTGACTTTGGCTTCCATAACACATGGGTCTCACTCTGCCTGGGGCTTTAACCAGTTATTTCTGCCTTTGTTCCAGCTAGACCCTAGCATCCTGGGTTCAGTCTAGGAGAACCTATCCCAACCTCCTGCAACTGTGACTGGGTCCAGGACAGGGTGACCTGCCCCAGCTCCACCCCCTCACCCCACCCCCACCCTCACTCCACAGCCCAGCCTTCCCACAGCCCAGTCTCCCCTCAGCCCAGCCTCGCCAGCCCAGCCTCCCCAGCCCAGCCTCCCCACAGCCCAGGCTCTCCACAGCCCAGCCTCCCCTCAGCCCAGCCTCCCCATAGCCCAGCCTCCCCACAGCCCAGCCTCCCCACAGCCCAGCCTCCCCATGAGTGGTTCTCAGCTTACTTGGCACTGGGGTGGCTCTTTACCACCTTTGCCAGCTCCATCTCATTGTCAAAGCTCAGCAGCTGGATCCCATGCTTGGCAGCATATTTGATCTGTGCAATTTGCTTACAGGGGTTGGCGTAGATGATCTTACTGGCAGGGACTCCAATATGCTGGACCAACTCCATCTCTGCCTATTGGGCCCCAAAGGTGGTGGTAAGGAGGCACCAGAGCCTGCTGGCCCATGGAACCCAAGGAAGCACAGATGAGGGCAAAGTCATAGCTATGCATAGGGAGGCCCGTAACAGGTGGGCCTTGCTCTAAGACAACAGATACATAGAAATCAGGAGTTACAAGGATTCACCATTTTTGATAAGCAGGGCTGCCATGTACAGCCATGCAGGTGGTGCACTGCACAATCCTGGGGGATGGGGGGTCCCATTCAGAATGAACACAGAGTAGATTTGTATATTTATTACAACTTCCTGGCAGTAAAGCATCTCATTCTAAGAAAATCAGTATATTTATTATAACGATTAAGTGTCTTAAGGGTACGTTTTCTAATTTTCACAAAGGCATTATATGGACTCATGGTAGCCCTGACAACAGGCTTCTGACACATTTTTCTGGCAAATTTAAATGTTTAAATATTACTGGAAAACAGTATGGAGGTTCCTCAAAAAAAACCTAAAAATAGGACAGGGCACAGTGGCTCACGCCTGTAACCCCAACACTTTGAGAGGCCGAGGCGGGCAGATCACTAGAGGCCAGGAGCTTGAGACCAGTCTGGGAAACATGGTGAAATCCCATCTCTACTAAAAATACAAAAAATCAGCCAGGCATGGTAGTGCATGCCTGTAGTTCCAGCTACTCAGGAGGCTGAGGCAGGAGAATCACTTGAACCCAGCAGGTGGAGGCTGGAGTGAGCCGAGATTGTGCCACTGCACTCTAGCCTGGGTGACAGAGCAGACTCCATCTCAAAAAATAGAACTACCAACTACTGTATGATCCAGCAATCCAGTACTGGTTATACATCCAAAGGAAAGGAAATCAATGTGTAGAGGAGATATCTGCACTTCCATGTTCAGTGCAGCATTATCCAAAATCGCCAAGATATGCAAGCCACCTAAGTGTCCATCACAGATGAACAGATAAAGAAAATGTGATCCACATACACAATGGAATATTATTCAACCTTAAAAACGCAGGAAATCCTGTCATTCACAGCAATATGGATGAGCCTGAAGGACATCATGTTAAGTGAAATAAGCCAGGCACAGAAAGACAAACATGCATGACCTCACTTATATGTGGAATCTAAAAATGTCAAACTCAGAGAAGCAGCCTAGAATGGTAGTTGGGGTCGATGGCGAAGGGGCAGTGGGAAGAAGTTGGTCAAAGGATACAAAGTTTTAGTCAGGAAAATTAAGCTCAAGAGATCTAATGCGCATCGTGGTGACTATAGTTAATAACAACATATGGTACACTTGGAAATTGCTAAGAGAATAGACCTTAGGGGTTCTCCCCACAAAAAAAAGGTAAGTATGTGAGTGAATGCCTAATTAGCTTTTAACCATTCCACAACACGTACATATATCAAAACATCATGTTGTACACCATAAATATGTACAATTTTTATTTTTTATTTGTCAACTTAATAAATAATAAATATGTTGCTGGTGTATTAGAAAGTCCACCAGACCAAGGGTCTTTTGGACAGAGATCACCCCACTCCAAAGGCCTACTCTGTGCACAGCCCTGTGCTGAGTGTGCAGGGTGTGCTGGCTCAGCCCTGCTCCTCTTGGGGGCTCCTCCTCATCCCCTTTGCAGAACATGGGTGCACCTGACTGCTGCATTAATGATACGAACAAATGATGATGATGACGATGATGAAGATCATGATGATGATGACAGCAACTGTGTTCATTCAGCACCTGCCACAAGCAGGCCCTGAATTAGATGTTTTACATCGGGTGTTAGCATACTTTTTCTATAAAGAACCAGAGTAAATATTTTAGGCTTCGCGAGCCACACAGTCTCTGTCACAACTTCTCAACTGCCTTTGTAGCACCAGAACAGCCACAGCCAAAGCATAATTGAATGAATGTGGCTGTGAGCCAATAAAACTTCATAAAATCAGGTGGGGGGCTGGATTTGGCCCTCTGTCCATAGTTTGCCAACCTCTACTTTGGATTCACCCTTTTATTCCGTCCTTGGAAAGAACCCATTCAGATGGGTATTAGCTCCAATCTACAGAGAAGGAAACTAACTGATGCTCAGAAAGGCTATGCAGCAAATAGGTGGCAGAATGAATTTTCGAATTCAAGTCTGACTCTCCACGAATAAACAAGAGAAGAGAGAGCCAGTTTTGAAACATGGTGAGAGGCATAAGAGTCATTTTTAGCCATTCTCATTTTGTAATAAGAGTCTAATTTTAATTTAGCAACTTTTCAGCACTAGATATTTATAAGCACTATTTCATTTAATCCCAACGACTATGCTATGAAATATTTACTGGCTACATTTCATGGAGGACGAAATTGAGTTCAGCGAGGTCCACCTGTCTGTGGTGACACAGTCAATCAGTAGCAGAGTGGCACACAAAGGTCAAGCTCCAGAGCTGGGCTTGCTGCCACCACAGCTTGCTTTCCAGGGGCAGATGTGGCCCACCCCGAATCTGAGTGGATGTGGACCTGCGTTTTTGTTCCCTGCCTCACCACATGATGTGAGAGGAAGAAGCAGTGTTAGCACTTTGGGGACCTGTGATTGAGCTTTGATTATAATTCTTTAAATTTTTAAAAATATATATATGTTTTAAATAGAGACAGGGTCTCACTACGTCGCCCAGGCTGGGCAACTCCTGGGCTCAAGCAGTCCTCCTGCCTTGGCCTCCCAAAGTGCTGGGATTACAGGTGTGAGCCACGGCACTCAGCCTAATTATAAATATTTAAATAAGTGTTGTCATTCACTGTAGGCATATCCTGTGCCAGTCACTGCATTAAGTATTTTATATACATTCTCATTTAACCTTACTAATAATCTTATAAGGTAGGGAACAGAGGTTCAGGGAGGTTAAGTGATTTGTCCAAAGTCACACAGCTTTTAAGTGGCACAGATGGGATTCTAACTGTCAGCCCTTAGCACACCAGCTCTTAACCTCACTGCTAGAACGGGAAATGCAACCTCAATGCTGCACTGACGGGTATCTTTTGAGCATCTGTTAAGTTGCCAGGCTCTGTGATAGGTGTTAATAAAACAAGTGGTGACTAAAGCACAGAGGCTTTCTGAGACCATGGAGCTTTCAGGCTGGTGGGGAAGACAGGCATGGCAGTCCCAAATGAGCACCAAATAATGATGGAATTACAAGTGGTTAAGAGCTGGGAAGAAAAAGTACGTGCTGCAAGAGACCTGGGTGTGAGGGGCAAAGGACAACCTCAGGCTCAGATATTTAAACTGAGCCCTGCAGGAGGCCTCAGCCAAGCCAAGAGGGAAGGAAAGAATCTAAGAATGTTTCCAGTAGAGGAAGTGGCCTGTGCAGAGGTTCTGAGGCAAGCAGTGCTGAGCACTTCAGCCTGATCAAGGAACAGAGAATGCTGGAGTGGCTCGAGCAGAGCAAGTTAGCACAGTGAGGACAATGAGGTCAGAGGGAGGGGGGCAGAGCTGCCAAGGAAACATGTTTTACCCTGTATATGATGGGAAAGAGTCTAAAGGGTTAGGAAGGGAAATGACATGGTCAGATTTGCATTTTAAATACAACATCTACAATGCCTATCTGGCTACCTGAGGGAGGGCCCAAGGGGATTCTGGAGGAATAGACTGTGATAGTCAGTGGCTATCACCATCGCCCTGGGGGAGATGACAGAGCCAGCTCCAGAAAGGCAGGGCTGGCAAGCTGGGTGACAGATTGCAAGTGGTGATGAGGAGGAGGACGTCAGAGGGAACTCCCACACCCAGCAGACTGAGGGGGCCCTTCATGAGGGGGAAGGGGGACATCAGGAGCGCATTTGAACATGCCAGGTTCCAGGCATCTCCTCGTATCAAGTCAACTGGATATATAGGTCTGAGCTGGAGATTAAAATGTGGGAAGCAGTGGCATATTGATGGTATTTAAAGCCATGGGAGGAGATAACCCTTCTTCTTCTGAGAAGAAGGAGGGTTTACAAGACAGGGAGGTCTAAGAATTCAGAAGAATGCTACCATTTAGAGAGTGGCAGAAGACGAGGAGAGATGGTGCCCAGGACCTGCAGAGGTGAGGATGGAGAACGTTTCCAGGGGATGAAGAACAATATGCAGATTAGAAAGCTATTCCTGTAAATGCAAATCTTGTCTCACAGCTTGTGTCTGGATGGGAAGGAGCTGTCTCAGCTGTAAGAAGTGCCTGATGAGGTGGGGTCGAAGCCGTGTTCTCTTTCATCTTATACACTTCTGAAGCCTTTAAAAGTAGGACCATATGTTACTGTTGAGTCTTTTTTTTTTTTAAAGAACACCTTGCTGGCCAGGTGCGGTGGCTCACGCCTGTAGTCCCAGCACTTTGGGAGGCCGAGGCAGGTGGATCATGAGGTCAGGAGTTCAAGACCAGCCTGGCCAACATGGTAAAACCCCGTCTCTACTAAAGAAACAAAAAAGTAGCTGGGCGTGGTGGCGGGCACCTGTAATCCCAGCTGCTCGGGAGGCTGAGGCAGGAGAATTGCTTGAACCTGGGAGGCAGAGGTTGCAGTGAGCAAAGATCATGCCACTGCACTCCAGCCTGAGAGACAGAGCAAGACTCCATCTCAAAAAAAAAAAAAAAATACTACATATCCACCAAAACCATGCTGGTGATTATCTATGGAGACATAAAGCTGATGTCCTAGTTTATTTTGGGGTGAATGAATCAATGTGTTATTTGATATGTATTATTAGTTGACAATCCATGTTTAAAGTAAAGTGCTCACTGGATCCTGCGGATCACTGGGGATGTTGGTAAGAGAAAATTCTTTGGAGTAGTGAAAGTGGAGGCTGAGAAGCAATGGCTTAAGGAAGGAGTGCTGAAGGAAAGAAAAAATGGGGGCGGACAGGTGACTGCAGACAACTCGGTCGAGTTTGGTCACAAAAAGAGAGCAACGGATTGGGCTGGAAGAGGATGTGGTGTCCAGCAAAGCGTTTTTAAGATGGGAAGATACTGAGGGAGACAGAAAGAGAGGGCAAGGGATGGGGGCAGGGAAGATGACACAGTGGTCCTCGGGCAGGTGGCATAGGTAGACCAGAGTCCCTGAGCAAGCCGTGGCCCCGGCACCTGTCCAATGCGTGCCTGTCTGCACATCCAGCCCTAGCTCACGCCAGGCCCTTGGTCAGTGTCCACTAAGGCACAACGCTGTTAAGCATGGCCACCTGCTATGGCCGACCAGAAGAGGGCAGCCTTGGCCTTCCAAGAAAAGCTGTTAAGTCCAGGAGCCACCGCTCCAGAAGTGCACCAAAAGGTCTGCGTGATCCCATTGCAGGGAGGGGGCTTAGGTCTCGCCTTGCCCCTGCAGTTGGCTGAGGGCATCCATCGCTGGCTGAATCCCAGCTCAACTATCCTCTCCTTAGCGACCTTGGAAAAGACAGAGTCCAAGGCAACTCAGCAGGACTCAAGCTGCCACCACCCTGGTACGGAACCTCCATCTCTCATTTCCTTATACGTTAAATGTGTCCTCACCAGGCTACGGTCAGAATCCCCATTAAAAAAATAATAATTACCTCACAGGGCTGTTGCGAGAGTAAAATGAGATCATGTACAGAAAACAGTTGGCAAAGTGCCTGACACAACAGATGCACTCAGCAAAGGGCAGATGCTTCTCCAGTCCCTGTTGTCATCAAGGTCTCCCTGAGCCTTAACACTCCACTCTGCCCTTTCTTCTAGAGAACTGAGCCCCTCCCCCTGGGGTTCCTGAAGCAGAAAACTCTAGGCAGTGGGGTTTGGTCCTGTTGTTCACCCTAGACCTCGGGAACTGAAAGGATCCTGCTCCTTCTCATCCCACGTGGAGGCCCAGGGCACTGTAGGAAGAAATGGGAAGTGTGGACGTCGTGGCTCTGCTACCCACAGACGGCTGACCCCACAGTTTCCTCAACTGTAGAGCAGCCGTCTCACCTGCTGTGTGCCTCACAGAGCTTCATGGAAGACATGCACAAAACGAGGTGTGCAGAGCTTCAACTAAACCAAAGACAAGGCCGGGCGCGGTGGCTCAAGCCTGTAATCCCAGCACTTTGGGAGGCCGAGGTGGGCGGATCACGAGGTCAGGAGATCGAGACCATCCTGGCGAACACGGTGAAACCCCGTCTCTACTAAAAAATACAAAAAACTAGCCGGGCGAGGTGGCGGGCGCCTGTAGTCCCAGCTACTCGGGAGGCTGAGGCAGGAGAATGGCGGGAACCCGGGAGGCGGAGCTTGCAGTGAGCTGAGATTCGGCCACTGCACTCCAGCCTGGGCGACAGAGCGAGACTCCGTCTCAAAAAAAAAAAAAAAAACTAAACCAAAGACAAGGGGAAGCACCTCATCTACCATGAAAGGCGTTAACATTCGGTCCCTGATACAGGTTAACCTGCTCGTTCTAACCATCCCAGCCAAATGCACACCTCTCCCCAACCTGGAGTCGCTCCAGCCCTGTCATCCTGCCCAGGACTCCAGGAGTCCTTTCTAGAACTCTCTTCACAACATCCAGCCATATTAAGCAACCATTACTAACCACCAAGAAAATGGTGCTAAGGACACTATCACAAACCAGTGCCCACTGGACTTGCTCCCACCTCAGGGCCTCTGCGCTTGCTGTTCCTGCTGCCTGAAATGCCCTTTCCCTGGTTATCCACCTGGCTTGATCCGTTGGCTCTTTTGGGTCTGTATTCAAGTCTCAGTGAACCCTTCCCTGGTCAAACTATCTAAAAGTACAATCCTCTCTCCCAATATTCCTTACTTCCCTTTCCTGCTTTCTCTCTACAGCATTTTCCATCTAAAATACTACATATTTTCATTATTTAATCTGTTTTTTTTGTAAACAAGCTCCATGAAGGAAGGGCTTTTGTTGTTTTATTTTGCTCACTGCCAAATCCCCACCTAGAATAGCACTTGGCCTCAGAGGAAATGCCCAATTAATATTTGCTGAATTAATAAATGAGATACTTTCAAAGCTCTACTTAGTTGAAACTTTATAGCCTAAAGGCTTTTATCTAGCAAGGACAGAATGGAAATAAACTAAGCATTCAACTCAAGGACAGCAGTCTATCAATTCTGTATTGCTAGCCCTGCCTAGCACAGTGACTACCACATTATAGGAGTTCAGTGGATACTGAACGACAGTAGATAAGCAAAGTTAATCTAAAGTGGCCATGCGCTGTGGCTCACGCCTGTAAACCCAGCACTTTGGGAGGCCGAGGCGGGTGGATCACCTGAGGTCAGGAGCTTGAGATCAGCCTGGCCAACATGCTGAAAGCCTGTCTCTACTGAAAATACCAAAAAATTAGCCGTGTGTGGTGGTGCATGCCTGTAATCCCAGCTACCTGGGAGGCTGAGGGCAGGAGAATTGCTTGAACTCGGGAGGTGAAGGTTGCAGTGAGCCAAGATGGCACCACTGCACTCCAGCCTGGGTGACAGCAAGACTCCGTCTCAAAAAATGAAAAAAATAAATCTAAAGAGAGCAGGAGGGAATGAAGACAACGGCAGAAATCAAATTAGAAAGACAGAATTGGTGGCAACAACAAAACTACAAGGACTAGTTAAGAAAATGCACCATCACACATTATTATGATTATAAAAGGAAAAAGAAAAGAAACCAACAATATGGAGATATGTTGGTTTTGTTTTAATTAGAAGAACATCATGTATAGCTCTGTGCCAACAAATTTGCAAATCTCCATTAAAAAGATGAGCTTTCTACCAGGGACGCAGAAGATTCCAATCTGGAACTTCAAGGCTGACAAATTCCATGCTCGTTTCTCCCTCCCTCATCCCTTGAGACCCCTCCTGAGTGGGTGGTCTTCCCAGAGGGCAAGGACCAACTGCAGGTACCTCTTGCTCCCCAGAGCCCACCTGCACTAGCCTGGCCATGTGTGTGTTGAGTGGGCAGGGAGGGTCAGTGCACCGTGGGGGCGGGGCTCACCTTGTTGGCACAGCTGAAGCCCAGCCCCAGCTGGGCCAGAACCTTCAGCACACCTGGGCTGCTGTTGCACTTGACAGCGTAAAAGGGCCGGACTCGTGGCAGGCACTTCAGAAAGCAAAAGTGCTTCCTCACTATGGCACCCAGGTCAGCCACGAAGAAGGCAGCGACCTCGTCCTGAATGACAAGAAGTGGATGAATATGAGACCCCATCCAGCTCCCACCCTGTGCATGCCATCCATGATCCTTCCAGGTACCTGACCCAGGTTCAGTCCTGGCCACAGAGCTACCCTGCTGTAAAGTGTTCTGGGCCTCCCCAAGCCTACACGACAGAAGGCAAACTCCTCAGTCTGGCATTCAAGGCTCTGTGATCTAGCCCCAACCCCTCCCCTCAATGCGGCTAAAACTCCAGCTGTAGGTTGGATCATTTTCCCACGTTCAAACCTTTGTTCCCACCATGACCTCTGCAGAATACCATTCCCACTCCTGTGTCTGGCAAAATCCTTAAAGTTTCACTCAAATGCCACCTTCCCCAAACCAATAAGGCAACTCTGCTTTTAGATGCTCCCACAGCATTTGCACGTGCTTCCAAGGTATCAGAACTGCATATGCATCCGTCCATTCTAGAAAAGGGTAAATTCCCTAAAGGCAGAAGCTGTGACCTACAGCTCATTGCCTTCCAAACACAGGTGTTCGATGAAGCCTTAAGCTCATCCCACTGACACTGCAACCAATGCCTATGGACAACTGTTCATTGCAGATGTGCTAAAGGCCAAACATGTATGAGGCTGTGGGTGAGACCACATTACTTAAATGTGGAAGGGACCCTTCCAGAGTTCCTTCCCTGAGACTCAGTTTCCCTTTCATGCAACACTTTTTTACTCATGCCCAGTTGGTGTCAAACATTATGCTAAGAGACAGAGATGACCAAACAGTACTGTTGCTCTGAAGGAGCTTGGGTCTGGAAGAAAAGGAACCCCTTAAGTACTTACGAGTCCACTCAGTAGATGTTAGATGGCAGTTTCTACAAGGTGCAGTGCGGGGGCATGGAGAAAGAAAATACAAAATCTGCCTGGGGCGATCAGGAAAAGGCAACACTGATGAGAAGCAAGGAATGACTAGAAAGGGCTAAAGAGGGGAAAGGCTGAGAGAAGGATGCTACAGGCAGAAGGAATAGCCTGGGCAAAGGCATGGTAATAGGGCACACGGTATCATTGGGAAACGCAAAATTAGTCATTCAGCTCGAAGGAGCATAATATATACTGTGGGGAAAACTGGGAGTGGAGAAAACTGGGAATGGGGCTATGGAGGCAGGGAAGCTCTGACTTGATCCTGTACGCAGTGGGGAAATGCCAAATTCTGATATTGAACAGGACTATGATACATTTGGAGGGGGTGGCATGAGACAGGGAGGAGATCAGGGGGCCTTTGGAGAGAGGAAGACTAAGCTAGAAAATGAGGTTCCACATAAGCACATTGGAGGGTTATTTAAGGAGGCAGAATTCACAGGGCTTGGTAATGCCTAGATGTGGGCAGTGAGGGAGAGGGGGCAGCAGGACAGGAATCGCCGGTTTCTGACCTTGGAGGACTGGGTAGAAAGGCAACATAGGAGGGAAGGTTTGGGGGCAAGGACCAAGAATTGGGGATAAATTGAGCCCCTCTCTTGCAAATAGCAAGGATTGCGTACCAAATAAGTGAAAGGATGAGGGCCCTAGGGACCCTTCTGAGAAGGCAGCTGATCTGTACAGGGGACGGGGACCCACCCCCATTCCCAGCCCCTCACCGTGGTGGCCTCTGAGGCCCCCAGAGTGAGTTCCTTCAGCAGGTCTCGGGTACTGAAGCCCTCCTCCACCATCACAAAGTCCGATTCACTCAGGTAGCCAGCCATGCCTTGCAGGAGGAGCTGACGGGCTGGATGGAGCCGCTGCTGCAGCCGCCGCCTTAGAAAGTATGCAACACACTGCGGGGCGGAGGGAGATGAAGGGAACGGCTGGGGGGCCAGCTCCGCTGCCCCACTCGCCTCCCCAGGCCAAGGAACCCAATCCCGTCACAACCCGCCCCCAGCACAAGCCCGGGGTTCATTAGGCAAGGGTGGAGAAAATAAAGAATCCCGGATTTCAAACGGAGACAAGGCACTGTATGTCCCCACCAGTAAAATGGATGAATTGTTTTGGAGAGCCTTCTCAGTTCTGAAATTCTGGATTTCAGGAAACAGTGAAAGAGAGATGGAACGGAAAATCTGAGAAACTTGGGTGGGGAAGTTTCCAGGGCGCCCCCAGTCTTGACCACGCCCACCCAGAGGGTAGCCGGTGGCCACGCCAAGGAGTCTCAGCCTGAGAGTAAGAGCTTAAGATCGAGTCCGCTCTCTACTGCTTGACCTCGGGTACCCTCTGACCCTCTTCGGAGCCTCACTTTCCCCAACTGTAAATGGGGGCTGGACTGATCCTGACATGCTAGAATTCTAGGCGTGCCTGGGGGCGCCACGTGGTGGGTGGGGGCCGCAAGCTCCTGGGACTGAACGGAAGGCCAAGGTTTTTTCTGTCCGAGTGACTCCTACCGAGTGCAGGGCCGAGGTCCCCCCATCCCCCAGGGCCCCTTACCAAGCTCCGTCCTCCTTCGCGGGGGCCAGAGCCAGGCGCGCTGCTAGGGGGGGTCGCCGGTGACCTCGGAACTTGTGCAACACCCCGAGGAGGAGTGGCAGTTGCGGAGCCGAGGCCCCTGCTGACAGGAGGCAGAAGGGGCCGGGGGGCAGGTCAGCACCAGAGCGGAGGGCGTCCGCTCCCCGAGGCTCCCCAGGCCACTTTCCGCACTCGCCTTAAAACGCATTTACACGGCTTCGGCCCATAAGTCTCCCCAGCGAGTGAATCGGCTCCTCGGCGCCTCCGCTCTCTCGCTCCCCCGGGATCGGGTCCCGCGGCCTGCGCCCTGCCCGCCCAGCAGCCACCGACCCCCACGCCCAGCCTTCCGCCCGCAGCACGCTTATATAACCCCAGCCAGGCCCCGCCCTTAGCGCCGAGGCCCTGCCTCCGCTTGGCCGTAGCCCTGGCAACCGGGTGCCGCCATCCCATTGGTCGATTCCGACATAAAGCACTCAGCTCTGCCCGCCCGTGCCGCAGTCTTCTCCCTCGGAGACCTGGCGGTGACTAACCCACGCTGGGAAATCGGAACTACAGGGCGCAGCCACACGGGTGGGACACTTAGACCCTGCATCTTAGGTCTTAAAGAGTGAGCGGGACCGGGAAGCCTTTTCTGCGTCTGCCTCAACTTACTTCGTGGTACCGCTCTTGTCTGCCGCAGGAACTGCTCGCTCATCTCTCGAAACCCGGTTCAAATGACATGTCCTTGTATTACTTTTGTAATAAAATTCTTTTTATTTAATTGTCTCTTCCAGGCATCTTCCCGACTCCAACTCAAAAGGCATCTAAAATGTCTTCAGAGAACCTTTTTGTGACTTTCCCAGTTCAAGGCAATCCCTCCCTTTATCACATCCTCTGAACCCGGCAAACTCTTACTCGCCTCTCAAGAGAAATGTGTCTCCTTCTTCAAGAAGCTTTCCCGGACTTACTCAACTCAAAGCATTTATTTTATACCGACAAGTTGCTGCTCACCCATCAAAGTCCTGTATAATGTCACCTCTGTTGAACCTTCCATGAACACAGCACTTAGTCTGTCTGGACCCCTCACTCATTTAGTTCTTGTTACCCATAGTGTGAGGTTCGTGTTGCTATTTTACATTTCTTGGTTGGTTACACTTTGCACCTAGTTTGTGATTTCCCAAGGGCAAGGACTGAATACCCTACTCAAGTGCCTGGAGCATGGCATAGACAAGAGTGCTGAAGAAGATTCAATAGCTGTGTTACTCAAAAGCTGACTCAAAAGTTCATCTGGAAAAGTAAGCATACAAGAAGAGTCAAGACATTCTTGGAAAATTTAAAAAAGGGCTTCCTTTATCATATCAAAAATTTGTAAATAATGCTGTAGTCCTTTTTTTTTTTTTTTTTTTTGAGATGGAGTTTCACTCTTTTTGCCCAGGCTGGAGTGCAATGGTACGATCTCAGCTCACTGCAAACTCTGCCTCCTGGGTTCGACCGATTCTCCTGCCTCAGCCTCCCAAGTAACTGGGATTATAGGCGCATGCCACCAAACCCAGCTAATTTTGTATTTTTAATAGAGACGGGGTTTCACCATGTTGGCCAGGGTGGTCTTGAACTCCTGACCTCCAGTAATCTACCGTCTCGGCCTCCCAAAGTGCTGGGATTATAGGCGTGAGCCACCGCGCCTGGCCAAAACTACAGTCTTTAAAACAGTATGGTGCTGGAGCAGGAAGAGACAGTGGTAAAACAACAGAGTCTACAGCAGTCCCGTATACATTGGAGATTGGTACACAATGAAGGCAGCATTTCAAATCAATGAAGCCAAAGGGGTTTTGGTCTACCGTGTCTTCATGTCCCCTGCTAGGCTATGGGCTTTTTTTTTTTTTTTCTCTCTTTTGAGACAAGGTTTGGCTGTGTCACCCAGGCTGGAGTGCAGTTACATGACCTCAGCTCACTGAAACCTCCACCTCTCAGGCTCAAGTGATCCTCCAACCTCAGCCTCCCAAGTAGCTGGGACTACAGGTGCATGCCACCATGCCATGCTGATTTTTGTATTTTTTGTAGAGACAGGGTTTCGCCATGTTGCCCAGGTTGGTTTCAAACTCCTGAGTTCTAGCAATCTGCCTGCCTCAGCCTCCCAAAGTGCTGGGATTACAGGCGTGAGCCACTGTGCCCAGTGAGCTGTAGACTTTCTTTTTAATCAGTGGCACTTCTTGTCCTGCCTTAGTGTCTCCCTAGGACACTCTGCACAACCTAGTTAGAACATGCTCAGTACACCGATGGTGCAGGGCAGGGACCAGAGGCAGGGAGAGCCATTTTCTGCTGCCTACCCAGCTGGGACATATAATGGCTGGGTGTCCTTGGCTGAGTCACCCTAATTGGATCTGGGTCACTTCTGCCTGGCTTGATTTCCCCCTGTGAACTGAGAGGTTCAGACTGATTTCTCTGGGCCCTTCTGCCTGGAACCTTCTTGTTTTCTATGCATAGGAGCAGCATTTCAGGAGGCAGCTTTACAGGACAGTCATTTGTAGGCCCTTTCTTTGAGATTAGTAGTCATTTGCAACACAGTATGAGAACAAGTATCTACCAATCAGGAAGGGTAGATTAGGATGGCCATGGCAGAAACCTTTAAAGATTAGACTGAGAGGAGAGGAGCACCTGAATAACTTTGGCTCTACTTTTAGTTTAATCATTCTTTGAGCTGGCTGCATTTGAATGTCATGGTCTGGGTCTGCCCTACCGGCTTTTTTCATCACCTAGTAGGCACATAATAGGTACATTCAATATGTTTACTGAATGAATCAATAGAGGTAAGAAGAAACGAACCAGAATCCAGTCTGTCCATTTGGAGTCTATCAAGGGTAAGTAATCAGAGCAGAAAAATCTGCACCCTGGACTGAGTACAGATAGGCTGTGGCTTTTTCTTTTTTCCCTGATTGTTATGTGATGTCACTGAAACTCCATGACAACCCTATGTCATAGGAGCCACATTTGTTCTCATTTTACAAATGAGGAATATAAAGCTCAGAAAAGTTCAGTAACTTGCTCAGGATCACACAGCAAGTAAGGGTAAAGACTAGATTTAAATACAAGCCAATCCTGACCTTTAACCTTTATGCTTGACTGCCAGTCAGTGGCTGAGAATTCTGGCCCCAGCTCAGCAAAAGTTACACACTCATCCTGCCAACTTCCAACCCAAAGGCCGGTAGCTTCTCTTCTGCTTGTCTCTCATGCTACCTCTGTCTTAGCATCTATGATTGCTGTGCTGAGCCTTCAAGAACATGGAGCAGAAGCAGGATAAAAATCTTCTGATCTCTAGTCAGAATCATGTTAGCCAAGTCAATCTATCCTTCATAAACCAAGAGTAATCATAGTCACAAACGTTGCAATAATAAAAATGCCTTATTAGTACATAAAACTGGAGAGTTTGAAAAATACTTTCCTGTTCATCATTTTATTCAGGCTTCCCAAAATTCCACCAGTATTAATTTCTTAGGGATGCCATAACAAAGTACCAAAAACGAGTAGCTTAAAATAACAGAAATGTACTGTCTCCAGTTATGGAAGCTAGGAGTCTGGAGTCAGGGAGTTGGCAGGGCCATGCTCTCTCTGATGGCTCTAGGAGAGAATCTTTCCTTGCTTCGTCTAGCCTGTGGTGTTAGCTGGCAATCCTTGGCATTCCTTGTGTCGTAATGCATCACTCCAGTCACATGGCCGTCTTCTCCCTGTGTGTCTTCATATGATCTTCCCTCTATATGTGTTTGTCTCTGGGTCCAAATTTCCCCTTTTAATAAGGATGCTTATCATATGGGATTAGGGTCCACCGTAATGACCCCATTTTAATTTGATTACCTCTGCAAAGTCCTGTTTCCAAATAAGGTCACAATCTGTGGCACTGGGGGTTAGGACTTAAAAATAACTTTTTACAAGGATGCAATTCAACCCATAACACCACCAAACACTTCTTTTTATACAGTTGACCAAAATATAGATCCATGATGACACCTAGTTGCAAGGGAGGTGGGAAGACATAGTCTTTAGTTGGGTACATTGCTGTTCCTCCTACCCCACCAATAAAATCAAACTACTAATGAAGACAAGGAGAGTAGATATTTTGTGATAACTAGTAGGGAAGATTATTTCTCCCTTTTAAAGATCAGCATATCACAGGGTGCGGCAGCTCATGCCTATAATTCCAGCACTTTGGGGGGCTGAGGCAGGTGGATCACTTGAGGTCAGGAGTTCGAGACCAGCCTGGCCAACATAGTGAAACCCCATCTCTACTAAAAATACAAAAAATTAGCCGAGCATGGTGGTGGGCACCTGTAATCCCAGGTAGTGGGGAGGCTGAGGTGGGAGAATCACTTGAACCCAGGAGGTGGAGGTTGCAGGGAGCCAAGATTGCACCACTGCACTCCAGTCTGGGCAACAGAGCAAGACTCCATCTCTAAAATAAATAAATAAATAAATAAATAAAGATCAGTGTATCAGTTGCGATGGTTTTAATGTGTCTCTCAGAAAGCTTGGGTTGTAATTTAACACCCAATGCAACAGTGTTGGGAGGTGGGGCCTAATGGGAGATGTTTAGGTCATGAGGGCTCCACCACCATAAATGGATTAATGCCAATTATAAAAGGGCTCAAGGCTGTGAGTTCAACCTCTTGCTCTCTCTTGCCCTCTCCACCACCTTCCACCATGAAATTATGCAGCAAGAAGACCTCCACTAGTTGCAGCTCCTCAGTCTTGGACTTCCCAGCCTCTAGAACCATCAGCCAATTTTCTGTTCATTATAACTTATGCATACTGAGGTATTCTGTTTCAGCAGCACAAAATGGACTAAGACACCAGTTCAGAGTGATTATGGAATTTATTCCACAGGGAGAAGTAGACAGAGAAGTAAACAAACATTATTTGAACACCTATTGTGTGACAGACATCGTACTGAATGTGTACAAACACATAACTGCATTTAATCTTTAGATAAGCCTTTAAGACAGGCATTATTAGCCCCATTTTACAGGTGATAAAATTGGGATTAAATCCTTTGTCTAAGGTTACTCAGCTAGTGAGTATCAGAGTGGAAAGTTCACTCTGGTCTATCTGACTATGCCAGTGAGATGGGCTCTGAGAATAAGGCATGAAGCTCAGAACAAGGAATGCCAACACCAGGCCAAGAGCAAACAGCAGAAGACCTGAGCAGTGGCTGGAACCCAGGTTCAGACACCAGATAAATTGGCAGAACAGGCACCAACCCAAAGTCACCACTGCAAACTCTTTGAAGTCACCAGTGAAATGGAAATCCTGAAGTAACTAGAAACCCGAAATAGGAAAGCAGCTTTTGCAAGGTCAGAGCTACTT